TTTCATTCGTGGTTTGGTGCGCATGCATGCGTGATCCCCTGCTCCCTCATGGGTTTTTTTAAGGGGGGAGAGGAGGGGGGCGGCGGCGCCCTGGTGTGGGATAGTCTCAGCACAATTAGAGGCTGTAGGAACTTTGAGAGAACAGGCTCCGCTCCCAAAGCGTTCCTGGAATCAGTACCCTTGCCTTACAAATGGTTCCTGGTGTTTCCTTGGCAACACACAGGCTTTCAGCCCAGCCTCACCCACGGCCCACATTTGCCCTTTCCTCCTGCAACCCAGAGCACAGCAGTGCAGGTGTCACCCCTCAGAAAGCACTTCCGGCTCCAGCTGACGGGACAGGAGGCATGCATCCCGCTTCCCGGGTGCTCCAGGCAGCCCCACCCCAGCTGGGCCTTGGCCCTGGGGCTCCTTGGTGCCCATGCTTTTCTCTGAGGCGCCTTGTCAAGGACCTGGTCTCAAGGACCTTTCATTTTAAATGCCTCCGGGGCCTAGGACTAGTAAGAATGCTTGTTAACACCTTCTCTGGGCCAGGGCTGAGTCCTCCTACATACTTCATCCTCATGGCAGCTGAGGCAGGAAGGGGCGGGGGCAACTCCCATGCTCACTTGGGGAAATACACATTCAAACCTGGGGTTCAGGTTTAAATAATACACCAGTTTTTCTGTGTCACAGAGACTTTCAGAAAGAAAACTGTGTTTCTGACAAGCACAGGGCTCTTACCGATACAGCCGCAGTGAGAACAAACAGCTGGCATGGAGGGGAGATGGCACTGTGTGTGCTGGGCTTGTTATCCCCACAGACAGCGTTTACAAAGGCCTTTCTACGTTGTAGGCGAAGCACCTGAGGCCTAGAGAAGTTAAGCAACGTGACCACAGCCACTGTCCTAGCCTGTGTGTGCACCCGGATGCCAGTCCAGATCCGTCTGCCTCAGAATTCCAGCTCTTAACCACCAGCTAGTACTGAGCTAGGAAATACGTTGAAACACTTAAGGAATATATGCTGAGATGCATGTAACCTGCGGTGTAGATGCGGTAGACCGAATAAAACCGTTTCTGAAGTTCCTGCATCTGTGGCAGGGACAGGACGATGGCTGCCAGGGGAAAGATGACCCTTCAGTGTGTCTAGAGTAGACTCTGGGGCAGGAGGTACACAGTTGTCTTTGTAGTAAAACCAGCTCACAAATGTACAATTCTCGGCAGGGTGTTAAAGCCCCACTGGGTTCATGGGTCAGAGGCATTTCCTTTTCCTAGCTGAAGTCCAGAATACATTGGTTCTCTGATAGGGAATAATCTCATGGGAATTCTGCTTGAAGTGGTCCAGTTATCAGAACGTTGAGCAAAAAGACGAAGGCATCCATTTGCTATATATCGAATAGTGGTTATGGGTTTGGAGCCAGACTCCCTGACCCCCCTTCTACCGGCTGTGACAGCAGTAACCTCTGCCTCAGCTTCCCCTTCTATAAAGGGGGTAATAATAGTGCCTTGGGCAAGGAGTTGTGAGAATTAAATGAGTCAATAAATATAAAGCACTTAGAACAGGATCTGGCACCGTGAGTGTTAGGACCGCATTTATCACCAGCCTGTGGTCTTTCTTGTTGGTGTTACTATTCCTTTCAAGGTAGCAAGGGTCATTTTAATTGCAAATGCCCCCAAGTACAATAAATCATCGCACAGAGCTGTTCAGAAATTGCCAGTTTAAGTGAGGATCCTGCTGAAATGTCTAGCAGGCAGGTGCCCTGGCAAGCTCCTGTGTGCACACCCCTGGGCAGGGCACCGGGGACACCAGAGAGAGAATGGGGTTGAGGGACTCATGCTGGCCGAGTGCCTGCTGTCTGTCAGGTGTTTTGCATGCGGACGGTTATGTGAGCTTAACAGAATCCAGCTGAGGAAAGGAAACAGGATTAAGTTATCTGGTGTCACCCAGCCTGGAAGTGATAAACTGCTTCAGGATCCGTCTCCCAAGCACTGGAGCGCTGTTGAATGGGGAGGGTGCCTCTGGGAACCTTGCCTTATCCAGTGTGGCTCCTTCGTCCTTTACTTTTTTTTTTTGTCCTTTACTTTTAACATTCCAACGTGATCTATGGGGTAGTCTTGGATGGCAACCATCCTAGTGCCCACCACTCTGCTAGGGCCCCCATGAGTGTGTGTGTGTGTGTGTGTGTGTGTGTGTGCGCGCGTGCTCGCGTGTGCATGTTTAGTCTGTGCATTATGGGAAGTCGGGTGGGGAAGGCAGTCAGCAGCCTTCAGTTCACAAATTGGAACTATGTGGATGCTGGGGATGTGAGAGCTCAGGCACTCTTAAAAAGCAGAAATGCAACATGGCTTTCAAAAAATTAATCTGAGGCAAAATGCACTCCTCCACCCTGCCCCCCAAAATCCCATGTAAACCAGGGAAGTGCCACTCTAGCTAACTGACAACGTCAAAGCAGAGAAGCAAATTTTGCAAAATTGGAAAATAGTGTAAGTTAAAATAACCAGAGATGCTGACAAACCAGAGATTTCTAGGCGGGTCTAAATTAGAAATTGGTTGTGGGGGAGGTGGGAGTGATGAGGTCCCTAATGGACTCCAGTGAGAATTCTTTAAATTCATGGGCTAATCACCAGCGATATGAAAGGGGCCTTGGGGATGAATATGTGCTCGCTGAGTGAGGGGGTAGCTCAGCTCCACTCATTAGAAACAGATGGGCGGGTGGGGGCTGGGGCTGGCACGCCAGTGCAGTCGGGATGCCTACTTTCCTGCTCATTATAGTCTTTCTCACACATCCCCTGTCTTTCGGGAACCCCTGCTTGCCCTGTGAGCCTGCATTGATCTCCACCAGCCCTGCCCTCCCCTAGGTCAGGGATCTTGCTGGGAAAGGACCCCTGGCCATGCTGCACGCAGCTGTGGCTACTGGCTTGGTGTCTGGAGGGCAGAGCCATTTCTGACTGGTCTGGAGGTGATCTTCCCACAGGTCACTCATGAACAATGCTTTCATTTCATTTGGCTCTAAAATCTTAAAATCCTAATCCGATGATTTGCGCTTTCGCCGTACATGTGGTCTGGCACTTGAAGATCAGGTAAATTGCTCAGGAATATTTGGAATCAGAGAAGCCAGAGGCGGAGGAGACCTTGGAGACCAGCGGCCTCTCCTGGCTTTGTTCCTGTGTCTGTCCTGAGTAGCAGTGACCCTGCGGGTGGGACGGAAAGACAAGAGGACAGCAAATGTCATATTTTTCCTCCCACGACCAAGAGGAAAGACACCACCAAAGGACTTTTCTGAAAATCGGCAAGTCTAAGAAAAGCTATAATACTATCGTAATTGGATCTCATTTCATCTAGTGTCACCTGGAGGAGTGGCGAATCCTCTTCTGCCAAGATCGTCAGCACCAGATGGGCACACGGGCTGGTGCCACGGCTTTCGTCCCCAGGGATCAGGGCAGCTGCAGGGCATGTACCTCCTGGGCCTCGGGGAAAGGCGAATGAGAAAGCGCATGTGGGGGCTCTTTATACCCTGGGAGGCTTACTCACATGGTGCAGGGTGGGGTGAGGGATGGTCATCTCTGGTCTGCCCTCCCCCCACCCCCTAGATAGCACCAGCCCTTCCACCTCTCCTGCGAGGCCTTTGCTGAGTGGCACTGGCCGGGGCCAGCATAGACCAGCCTTCTCAGTCCCTTCCTTCTGGAGGTGAGGGTACATCATGGCGTCTTCTCTAATTAACACTCTAGGTATGGATATGCTTTTGGAAAAAAGCACAGCTCTCTAAGGGAGAACAAGTGTGTTCTCTGGGATTCGCTCAGTGGAGAAGGGGATGGAAGGTCCTGAGTCCACACCTTTGTCGCCCGGTGTGCACATGCGTGTGGCTTCCTGGCGCCTGCCTGCTGGCTTGGGCTCCACTGCCCACAGCAGAGTGGGAGTTCTTCAGGAGTCGAAGTTCCCACGCAGACCAACCGGCCCCTGTAGTTTGGCCTCCCTGTAGTTTGGCTGGGCATGCTGGAAGTTACTTAGCATTTGGTCTCCTTTCGTAACTGCCCAAACCCAGCCTGAAAAGTGGAGTTAAACACAAGCTCAATACAATTACATCCTTCACCACGTACATCTGAAGTCCTGCCCATTCTCTGGAGCAGGAGGCTGCCTCCACCCAAGACTGCCACATCTCTGTCCCCACGTGGCCACTGTTGCAACGAAGCCCGTGATGTCTTCTTCCCTGGCCCCTTCATTCCCACTGTGTCCAACCTAACCGGAACGAGCCCCTCTGGTCTTCTTTTCTGAATCCTGCAGGTGATGGGTGCAGCGGGCAGGAGCTGCTGAAAGGGGCCCTTTCCCTTCCTCAGGTGGGGAGGGGGGAGAAGAGCTGGGCATGCTGGAAGTTACTTGCATGGGCTTAGCAGCCAGGCTTGCTTTGCTTTGAATGAACTGAGAGGTCTGTATGGTGCTCATCCCGGTGTCTGGCACCGAGTGCTCAGTGAGTGGTAGCCACCTGTTAGCTGTCCAGGTCAAACCAGTCCCCTCCCGCCTGCATCTCCTCCCTCCCGCCTGCTTTGGTGCTTTCAGTGATCTGCGTTCTCTCCTGTTCCAGCTTCCTTTCCCTTTGCATAGAGGCATGTTTGGCTCATGTTTTAAACATCCTCCCCTAGACCCTGGATCTTTGCTGACCCCATCCTCACTCCCTGTCCTCCTCACTCCTCTCCTTATTCAGCCTCCTGCCCCTCAGTCCAGGGAGCTGGCTCCTGCCAGAGCAGCAGTGGTCTCCGGACGGCCAGGCTGCCACAGGCCTGCGGTCTCTGCTGACGTCCTCCCCTCCGCCGCGTGCCGTCCCCCTCGCCGAGTGGGTCCCTGCCGCCCACAGTTCCCTCTCCAGCACCAGCCCAGGGCTGAGTGCACGGTTCTTCAGATGGGGACTCGGCCCAGCCCAAGCAGCAAATCAGACCGGGACACATTACCAGTGAAAGTGTTTAATAGTTAAATTACTCAAATAGACTTTTCAGTTTCCATGGGAAATCATAATTGTATCCGTTTTTGCAAGAGCAGGAGTAAAAAGAGTGCACACCCCTTAGAGGGAATAAAAAGCCAGCACTGCACATGGTAACCAGTCACTGGGGGGAGGGAGGGCGGAGGATGGGCCCCCACGAGGCTGGTGGGGGTCATGACAACAGGGGGAACATAGGAGGAACTCTGCACACACACACACACACACACACACACACACACACACACACACGTTACTCAGGTTGGAAGCAAAATGAAAATCCAGCACCCTGGCAGGTGCTGGGGTGGGGACTGGAGAACAAGACATGGAGAAGCCAGCCTGGCGAGGGCACGAGGCCGATACAGAACTCAGGGCGGACAGCAAAGGCGCGACAGACTCGGGCTGGCAGTTTTGGGTCCATAGCCTTGCTTCAGGGCTGTGTTCGGACAGGTGGGCGATGGGTGTGGGGGAGGCTGGCGCCAGTGTCCAGCCAGAGGTGGAGCGAGCAGGTGGGCATCAGAGTCACATCCCAGCAGCTGGCACCCCGCTGCCACCCCACCCCCTTCCAGCTTGTGTTGGAGGTGAGAATAGTTCTGCCCTGAGAAGCAATGAAAAGATCTGGGCACAGGCCCCAAGGATTCTGTTTGGAAATATCTCTGGTAGTATATCATTTTCCAAATGCCTCCTTCATAGGGTATAAAAATAGAAATTTTTTCTTGGTATATTGAACTGTCCCCTCCCCAAAAAACAAAAACCAGACAAACCAAACTTTCTGCTAACTTTGCTCTGTGGACTCTGAAGCTGGCTCTACCCTTTCCTTTGTCTGGTTTGCAGGTGGAGGGCAATGCCACCCCCCTTTCCCTGAACCTAAGGGCGCCACATTGTACCCCAAGTCTGAGGGACCATCTTCAGGAGAGGCACCTCGGCCAATCGAGAGAGGCAGGCAGGCTTCCTCGCCTCCACCTGGCTGAGCACCAGGGCCCGCCTGCAGGCAGCGGAGGGCTGAGGTCTCAGGGAGCGAGAGGGGAGAGCAGCTTTTTGTTTCCTTCTTATTCCATTTGCATTTCTCCCAGGGGCAGTGATCTGTGTGTGTTTGTGTGTCAGAGAGAGATGGGGTGATGTGTCCACGCATCTTCCTACTTAATCTTTAGAACATCTGGTAACCCAAAAGGACACGCTCCCTGCTCGGGTTGGACCTCGGAAAACCCAAAACTGCCAAATCCGAAGTGAGGAAAACAGGCGTCCTGTATGTGGCCAGTTCCACAGCACGGACACACATGCACGCGCACACCATGCACACTTGGACGTATGGACAGTACAAATGAGCACACACACGCCCCGCTGTGCAGCACAGCTGTGTTCTAATATAGAGAATTTACAAAATATAGAATTTGGTATATTTGTTAGATCTCCAAGGTTTTCAATAATACAAAATAAAAAATACAAAAAGACACGTTGGGACCCGGCCTCCCTCCCCAGCAGCGTCCCCGGTTGCCCGTGGGTCTCTCACACGTGGACAACTAGCAGAGGCTAAAGAAGGGCGCAGAAACAGGTTTTGTTTTATTTAATAAATATTTTCCTTTTCTCAGAACCGCCACTCCTGGCTTCGAGTCCTCTGGCCTCCCCCTCGCAGTTAGTTCTCTTCCCCGCGGAGGGGCATTGTCTGTGCGTGTGTGTGGGTGGAGGGGGGGCTGTGGTGAAGGCCACAGTCCTTCCAAAGCCAGCACTCCTGCCCGGCGGCTGCCTCCATGGGGCAGGGGCCAGGTCTGTCTGAAGTTTAAAGGCTCGTATAGAAAAGCAGACCCCTCAGGGCCCCTAGGCTCCCTCCAGCCAGAGTCGCTTGCCTTCCCACCCAGGCCTCTCCCTCAGCCCTGCCCTCGGCGCTGGGTGGCCATACACCGATCCACGCGCCAGGAGCTCCTCCACCCACGCAGCAGCAGCACCCGTGAGAAAACTCAAGATCCAGGTCGCGTCCAGCGGAGTCTTCTCCAGAGGGAGTCATCTTTGGTCAGCGTGGTGCTCGCAGGACGCAGGCACCCTGCCTGGGACAGAGGCTGCCGCCCGTCCACGAAGGCAGAAACTGCTTTTGGAATCAACGTGGAAAATCTCAAGGGCGCGGCCACCTGGGCGGGGGCGCGGGCTTCCACCGGCCCGCCCGGCAAACAAAGAAGCCGTTGCGTTTCTCCGGAGGCCAGCTGCCTGGCATCGTCAGCTGGAAGCTGCTAACTGAGCGGGGGCCCTCCGTTGAGGAAGTAGGTCATCATCTCGCCTTTGCCCTTGACCTTGACCACACCCCGGCACTCCAGCTGGTACGTGTTGGCAGCCAGCACCTGGTACATGTCCGTGGTGACCTGAGGAGGCAAAGGAGGAGGGAGGACAGGCCATCCACAACCGGAGCCGTGAATCTGCCCTCGGGCAGAGCTGCCTTTGACACAGAAGGGCGGGCGGGGGCATCTCCCTGGCCCTGGCTCTCGGGGACGGACACTGCTCGCCCAGGAAAGTGCCTCTCCATGCTGTACCAGCAGCGGCGAGCCTCCTGTGCCCTTGCAGTGCCGCTCAGCGTGGCCGTCGTCCACGTGAGAAGTGCAGAGGCTGAGTCGGTGGGAGGAACTCCCGACCCAACCACGCACCTGCCTGGGGCGTTTTCCAAGGTCTCCCTCCAGGACAGAGCAGAAGTGTTCTAGGTGACCCACAGGGAGAGTGAGGATGCTGACCTCACCTACCCTGTGAGTGAAGTACTATGATCTCAGGCTCAAAACATCTGAGTCACTGCCTGAGGATACACCGCTAGGCCGGGCAGGGCCGGGCTCAGTTCGTGGCGCACCTCCTATCTCTCCTTCAGCTTTTGGAACAAAGAGGAGAACTCACAGGTGGCTCCAGACATCACACTACCCTTGTGCAGGGGGAGGGGGAGGAGAGGGTGACGGGAGCAGCAGAGGACCAATGCCTCACAAGGTGATCCAAGAGCCATTTCTGAGAACGGCCAGCACGCCTCCGCCGGCCAGCAGCAACTCCCCAGCAAGTGTCCCAGCCCAGCCCAGCCACCAGGCCAGGGAAGACGGGGCTAGAAACCTCTGGGTGGGCTGCGGGGAGATGACCCTGCCGTGTCACCAAGTGTATTCGCCAATGGCGAGGCCCTATGCAAGTAGAGGTGCTGGATTATTGTGTGGTTGCTGACAGCATCGCTCATACCTGTCATGGGTGAGGTCAGGAGCTCTGCAAACACACGTTCCTCTCTCCTCATCTCCCCTCACGACCCCCAGTTCCCATCTGCTATCACTTCTCCCTTGGCACAGGGATGGAAGGAGAGGCCATTGACCAGGCCCCTCAGACAGCAGGCCGGGCTGAGCTGGCCAGGGCCGTGCTCAGAGCCAACCCCTGTGTTCAGAGTCCCCGCAGGAAAGAGACGTTAGGGGACATATGAGTGGTGTCAATGTGAGCAGAAGCCATAAAACAAGCTCCATTAACATTTGAGACAACGGAGGCCAGGGAAGCTAAGGGGCCTGCCCACAGCTCACAGAGAACTGGGGTATGAGAAGGTGGGGTGCAGGACTAGAGCCCAGTCCAGGCTTCTCTGCTGTCAGATTGAAGCAGAACGAATCAAGAAAGCCCTGAGAAAAACAAAGAAACACAGAGGAAGAGCGGAGGGCCTGGGAATCACAACCAGTGGCTTACAAAGGCTGTGGGAGGAGGAAATGTCTGGGTCCCTGGCCAGGCTATGCCCTCTCATTCCTTCTGTGGCAGCAGAGGGCTCTGCACAGGCCTGGGGATCTGTCCAAGGTGCTGAGAGCCTGAACCCAATCGTGTTCTCCAAGCTTCAAAGACATCAGTGCCAACCACCCAATCACTCTCAAATGAAATTCTGACTGGAAACTGTGGGTGGCCTGCCCCAAAGACCAAGCATCAGACAGCGGCCCCGATGTTGGGGTGGCGGGTGGTGGATGCTCCTGCACTCACCTGGATGCGGTCTGGCACACCGGTGCTGTCCATGCGGCTGGCCACGTTCACCGTATTGCCCCAGATGTCGTACTGAGGCTTGCGGGCCCCGATCACCCCAGCCACCACGGGGCCGATATTGAGCCCTGCAGGGGACAGAAGTCAGCACGCTCATCAGGACTCAGACCAGCGCTGGCCCTCACTCCCATTCCTCTCCCCGCGCCCGGCTTCTTCCTTGGACTCTCGGTCTGAAGATACCCAGGGTCCTCCAGCCCCAAGGCCGTGCTTAACCCTCTGCTCCTATCAAATGCCATAACTCAAGGTTACAGGAACCTGTTCACACACCCACTGCACCTGTGTCCTCACCACCCAGGCAATGCTCAGCTCCTGCATGGCCATCACCAGCACTGCCCTCTGCAAGGCTTCTAGTGACCTCGTGCGTCACCTAATCGCCTTTCCCTAATCGTCCCCCTCTCAGTGGCATTAGTAAGTTTTCACCTTCAGTTTAGACCAACATACCAGAACTTGCCCATTTCTTTGCCACCCGAGGTTCCCAGCTGCCTGCCCAGCTACTTGTCTACCTGTCACCCAGTCTCCAGTCCTGGCCCGAGGAAGGAGGGGAGGCAGCTTACAAAAATATAAATCAATGTAGGTGGAAAAGATGGGGTGCAAGGAAAATAAGAATAGCAATTTCACGAAACCGGGGGTGAAGTTAGCACAGAAATGCAGGCTGCACGTCAGGTGAGGCAGACCCCCCGCTGGCTCTGGTCTGGGCCTCCTAGCAACCAGTGCAAAGTGAGACCCTGGCCAAGTTCCCGGGTGCAGGGCCCCCGGCTACCACGGCCGTCCGTTCAGACAAAGCCCAGTCCCCACAAAATGTCTCCAAGGCCATCAATAATCACAATATTGATGGTTAGCAATCCAATATTTTGGTTTCATGTGCGAATTTTGAGGACTGAGATACCAGTATTTATGTTGGTGAATTAGTGTTCCTTTTTTAAAAAAAAAATCGAAATCTGAATCATTTATGGCTTGAGACATGCCAGGGAGTTGATCATGCATTAGAAGTCTGAAAAGTAGAAAGGTCTGCTCTTTCAGACACCATTCTTCACCCCACCACCCTCAAGAGGGGGAGGGCAGCAGGGGGCGTGGGGGGCTGGGTGGGAAAGGTGGAGGAATTGAGAAGTGCAGAAGGGTAGTTACAAAATAGTCATGGGGATGCAAAGTACAGCGCAGGGGATCTAGTCAATGATATTGTAATCACTGTGTATGGTGCCAGGTGGGTGCTTGAAATATCGGGGGGACCACTTTGTAAGGCCGATGGTTGCCTAACCACTGTGCTGTACACCTGAAACCAGTACAAAACAATTCTGAGTGTGAACTGTAATTGAAATAAAGAAAGAAGAAAGCAGAGGAGGGCAGCAACACTCAGCAAAGCAAAACCCCTACTGCCGAAACCACGCACACTGGCTGCCGGGATGTCCTTGGTGAGATATATGCTAAGAACAAAACGAGCTGCAGAAACACCTTGAACTTTATGGAGCAGCGCATCCAGAGCGGTAATCTGCAATCACCCAGCAGCTACAGGAGGTGGGGCCTGCCTGCCTGTGTCCATGTGCTTGAGTTTTCACTGTGCTATTCTGTCAGCTCTTCTGCAGAGCCGAGACTTGTCAGAGCACAAGGTTGGAGTAATAAAACAACAAAATTAAAGACCGAAAAAATTATATAGGGTTTGGTTCAAAGAGTTTCTGCACAGGGAGAATAGAGTCCTGACTGTGAAACAGACTCAGGGTCTCTCTCGGAACCCAATCTCTTCAGAGCCAGCTCCCACCCTGGGCACCACCCCGGCGTCTGCAAGCCCCTCGAAGCCACCCACCGCAGGCCGAGGCGGTGGGCAGAGGACCCCGGGGAGTCCCGACAGGCTCGCTGTTTCTCTGGCCGCTGATGCAGCTTAGAAAAGCTCTCCCGGCCCCGAGGAGCTGGTGCTCACACAGGAACCCCAGGGAACCCAGCAATAACCCTGCTGACCCGTTTTGTGTTTTAAGATGTTGAAATTATCATTTCATTGTCAATTTTACATGATTCCTTTCATGTTTAGTTTTTAAAATATTTCACTATGTTCATTTTGCTAACAGTTTTGTAGGACTGTTATGTTCAATGTTTTTATAAATTTGCAAATCAAATGACTTGTACTATGTTTGTTCATTTTGTATTTAAAATGGATGAGTACTTCATTTCACTGCTTTTCATTTGTACTGAGTGAATGTGGAACACTTTTAAATAAAATGCTGCTATTAAGCCAGTCTGACTTGAAATACATGGGGCTGCCATGCCCTGGGGCAGCACCCCTTTCGGGCAGGCCCACACTGGGTCCACCCAGCCCTTCCCAACGCGGGCGTGAGGCGGGCACTCAGAAAGAGGTGTCCTGGGCATGTCACCCGCAGAGCAGCATGCAGAGATGGCACCTCTAGGCTCCGGGAGGAGTGAGCTCTGGGTGATGGGTCCCACCCCACCCCCTTGGGCAGGGACACACTGTGATGCCAGCCTATGCTTGGGCCTGGGTCACTAATGCAGAATGGGGTGAGGGACAGGAGCCCCTCTGAGCCCTCAGCCCTCCCAGGCAGCTCACCAATCTTCATCTGGAAGTTGTTGAAGGAGTGCTCGTTGATGTACTTCATTTGGTCCATCAGCTTCATGGCGAAGTCGGCCAGAGCTTTGATGTGCGTCTTGCCCACCTTGTCGTAGGTGGAATCATTAAGGCCGGAGGCAGCCATGTAGGTGCTGCCGATGGTCTTGATCTTTTCCAGCTGCTTAAACCGATCCTCACTGATGATCTGAAGAAGGCCAAACCGGGTCACCCCCAAGTCCGGGGCACTGAGGTCACAGGGAAGTGCGGCAGCGTGGCCCCTGTGTCTCCCCAGTTCACACAGAGGGCCTGTCTCTAGCTCCAGCTCAGTGCCAGGCCCTGGAGCTCCCTGACAGAGCCAGGCCTCCTCCAGTGCTCACTCTGTAAGGGGACTGTGCCCATCTCGGCCGACTCCAGTCACCTCACTGCCCAGAAGTCCACGAGCTGTTTCCCACACTGCTGGCTCCAGCTCCCTCATCCCTCTCCTTTCTGAGCCCTGGATGGCACTGGGATTGTCCCTCACACTCACTGCATGGTGAGCTCCCAGAGTCGAGGCTGCCCCAATGGGCACAGTATCCTCAGTGCCTGGCACGTCCTAGCTCAACAAGGGTGTGATACAAATAACAAAATGGCTTTGTTTGTGCTGTCGATGTTCAGGGCCTTGCATCTTGTCCTGCCTCCTCCCTCAGCCTGGGAATTGCTCCTTCCTGAGACTCTCAAAGGCGGGGTCCCAGCCTGACACCATGTCCAGCCCTCAGTGGCATGAGAGGAAGGGTGGAGGATGGGAATAATTGTCAAGGCAGCTGGGCAGGGCCCCAGTGGGCAGCTCAGGTGCAAATTCAAACACCCTGGGCTGACACCAGCCCTGCCACTTACTGGCAGTGACCTTAGGCAAGACACGTCATGTCCGTGGGCCTCAGCTTCCTCACCTATGACATGATGATAGGGAGGGAATGTATGCAAGGTCCCTGGGACGGTGCCTGGGACACCACGGCCAGGGCTCCTGATGTCACCGGTCCTATCTGGTGAGGCGAGGGGGGCACCAGGTCTCCTAACTCCCTCCCCTCCAGGGACCCCAGTGCCCCTCGGCCCGCCCCGCACCTCATCGAAGTCGGCGATGATCTCGTTGAGCAGCCGCAGGCACTCGACACCCTCGTTGTTGGCCTCCAGCTCCACATAGAACTCGGAGAAGTTAGCGATGGAGGCAAACATGACGGCCACGCACTCGCACGACTGGTAGTAGAGCTCGTCGTTGCGCCGCTCCCGGGCCAGGAAGTGGGCGGCCACGTCCTTGGGCAGGATGTTGTGCAGCAGCCGCCGGTTGTAGGCCTGCAGCTCCTCCATCTCCTCCTTCTCCTCCGTGGCCTGCGACAGAGGACCGGCAGAGGGTGGGCCAAGCCATGCATGACTTAGAAAAAAAGAGTGTGAGCCCGGCCAGTGTGGCTCAATGGTTGAGCGTCAACCACATCCTGGGGACTCAGTGGCACTCCAGCCCAGCTGGTGGCAGGAATGTGACCCACGCCATTCCCAGAGAGCAGCTGGCCAGAGTGGCAGGCAGAGTGGAAGTGTAGGCTGGGGGCGGGGACACTGGGAACATGGCTTTGGATGGAATCAGAGGCCAAACCCCCAGGCCCTGGCCAGGTGCTTCTGCCATCTGGAGGACTCGGCCCAAGACATGCTGGGCAGCTGCCAACACAGCCAGATGCTTTTAGGGTCGGACTCTGGCCGGGCAGGAAGGCTCAGGGGTCAGTGCTGTGGGAGGAGGACAAGAGTGGGCTGTCCCCCGAGAACTGAGATCAGTGGTTCTGCCAGGAGGGGGCCTTGCGGATAAGGGCGTTCCTGGTGCAGGGGTTCAGAGAAGCTATAGACCCCAGGCCTCCCCACTTCCCTGTCAGCACCTACCCGCCCACCCTGACCATAGATCCAACAGCAAAATGGCTGCTGGGCGAGATGGGAGTGGGCCAACAGACTGTCCCCCACCCACCCCCAAAGACCTGCATTCAGGTATTTGACTATTGGTATTGATTTGATGTCCCCCTCCCCAAAGCCCCAGAGCAGGATGGGAGATGGAGGGACATGGAAGCTTCATGAGCCTGTAGGAGAGCTTCCAGGAAGAGAGGCTGACATGCCCGACCGGTGGACAATCACCCTCGCACGCACACATCTGTGCACAGGCCTTCTTAATTGTTTTCAAAATGGGAGAAGGGATACAGCCACTTCCCTTCCAACCTCCTCTCCCCGCTCCCTGCCATGTGCAGAGCCCTTGTGCCTGAGGAAGCAGGGGTCAGAGGATGGGCGCCCCAGGTGGCACGCCCAGCACACACACCACAGGTGGTGAAGAGGGGAGGGGCGTGGTGGGGCAGAGAGGGGGGCTGAAGGTGTTGGGAGGTTGGCTCCATGGAGCAAATGAGAAAATCTCTGCAAGACAATGGGCACCAGGTTTCTCACTAGCAGAGATGGTGTTTTTAAGCCTGGAGGAAGGCAGGCTAGGAAGAAGCCTGAGGTGTTGCACTAGAAATGGTATAAGCTCATGGTTTTAAATACCAACAGAGAGATCCTGGGGCAGTATTCATATGTCCATACGTACTTTTATTTAGATGTTCATATACACTAACATGTATTTCCTCGCTTTGTCCACAGAGAGGACCTAGAACACTGAGCACACTGAGCCCCCGATCTTGGTTTCTAAGTACCATTCTCCACGCCAGAGAACTGGGGCCTCTGAAGAAATCACTGACAGCTGGGCTGGAGCAGGGAAAGTAGGTGATGAGCCTGAGACATCGGCTTGTGCCAGGAAGTCGGCAAATGCTCCAAGAGTGATGGAGACATGTCAAAACTTAAAGTAATGAGAGGAGCAGAGTAAAGCCCACTGAATGGGATAGGAAGCCATGAGTCCGTGCTGATACAGATAAATGAGTGACTAAGTGAGCGGGGAGGAGGCTCTTCCTGATAGCAGGATGCCGGTTCACAATGTGGGAGGAAGGACGGACGCGTGTCATCACGGCCAGGCAGGCAGGAGGCGAGATGGATGCTGAGACTGGTGGGTGGAGGTTTGCTGAGGATCAGAATATTGGTGTACTATCAGAATCTTTCCACAAAGCGCTAACTGAATGCAAAAGAGAAGACGGCGTTCTGACAGTGGAGAAATCCGGCAGTCGCCCACTGAGTGGTGATCAGGGTTAACGTCACCAGGGAGGGGACAGGTCAGCCCAGTGGAATCCCCAGTGTGATGCACTGAGAAGGAGCAGCGTCATTTCCATGATTTTCCTCCAAGAAGGTGTGACCTGAGACTGGACATGGGAAATGTCAACATCTGAGGGTCACAGCACACGGATCTCTTTAAGACTGGCAAGGACTGGGAGGCCAGGAAAGACTGAGAAGACATGAACTAAATGCAAAGAATCCTGGGTTAGAACTGGGACCACTGCCCTGGCCAAGGTGACTCAGTGGTTGGAGCATCATCCAGTGCACCAAAGGTCTGGTCAGGGCCTGTGTGTGGAGGAACTGATTGATGTTTCTTTCTCTCTCTCTCTCTCTCTCTCTCTCTCTCTCTCCCTCCCTCCCTCCCTCTTCCTCTTCCTCTTCCTTCCTTGTAGGGCACGGCTATAGGGTTAAGCCTCAGACTGACCTGTTGGCAAAGTCACAAACAAGTCCTAGCTTAGAGGGCACAGTCCTCTTAGCATAATTAGGCTTGACCTTATGACGCTCCTTAGATCTTATCTGGGAAGCTAATGGGCTGAGGGAGGTGCAGCAAGTGCTGCCAAAACAAGTGAAACTCACAAGAACAGTGTAACTATGGTAACCACTACCTTGTTTACCTCTGACTTTAAAATAAAGGCTCAGCTTGCCTCTGGATCTCTCTCTGTGGCCTCAGCCAGGCACAGGAAGATCCACCTAGAATAAAGAGAGAACCTGGCTATGCTGATCATCTGAACGCTGTCTCCGTGTCCTTCATTCTTCTCCGACTCTGTCCATATGTACCTTTGGGAACCCCTGGACCGCTGGGGCTGGACCCTGGCACTTCCTCTTTCTATGGATTCAATGATGGATGTATCCTCATTAGGAAAAAAAATTAAAAGAACTGGGACCCCTGGCAAAATTCAAATGGGCTTTGTGGGTGGGATGAAGCTGCTCCAGTGTTGATTTCCTGACTGGGAGGTCGGGTGGGGTGACGATGGATGTCCTTGCTTTTTGAAGGTGGACATCAGAAAATTTGGGGGTGATGGGGCATCATGTTAGAAGGGTGGGGCAATTGAGCAAATGCAGAAAAAATGGTTAGGGAATCTGATGAAGGGACTGTGGAGTTCTCTATGCTGTTCTTGCAACTTTTCTGTAGGTTTTTAATTATTTTTTAAAACTTACTCCCCCCAAAAAGATAAAAAGGGTGGGGGGAGCATAGCTGTGGGGCCAGAGGAGGTCAGGGAGAATAAGTGGAATCAACCTGTGTCTGCTTGTGTCTCTCCTGTGTGGAGGGAAACATTAATGACATGTGTCTCTGGGGCTGCAGATGCGCTGAGGGGTGATTGAGAACAGCCTGGTCCCCAAACCTCCCCAGACGCTCAGCACTGCTGCGGGGCTGGGCTGCAGTCCAGGGCTGAGGGAATGGGGACCGGGCATGAGGGTGGGCCTCAGACCAGGGGCCCGTGGAGGCCCCCCGCCCTCTCTGCAGCACAGAAGAGCCAGTGCAGCCTTATCCCTGAGGTCCCCCCCACCCAGGGCTTCTGAGGGCCATTCCCATGCAACACTTGCTCCCCCAACTTCAGGGTGTCCCCACTGGAGACCTCAGTGGAAACCTCACCCAGACCTCACGCAAAACACCCAGCAGCAGGGCAACCAGGTACCCCATCTTCCCTCAGCACCCAGTGAAATGCCAGGGCTCCTGCCCCGGCAGGAAGACTTCAATCTCAACGTTAATGAGGACGGAGGCCTAACCAGTTGCAGATGAGCTGGAGAAGTGGTCGGGACATAGGAGCCAGGCCAGGGGAGACAAAGAGACCGAGCTATGCCCTGTCCTGCAAGAGCTGGGCCGGAATAACAGGACGGAGGCCACCTGCACACACCAGGCTTGTGCACTGTGAGTGCGCTTGGGCGCCCTCTCCTGGCCCTTTGCAGGCGGTCTGCCAGGTAACCAGAGCCGCTGCCTGCACCTGGAGCGCCCTGTGAGGCCCAGCAGCGTCCCCTCCCGCAGGTGGGCCCCTCAGGGTGCAGGGCACGAAGCCTGGAGGCAGGACACTGGTGGACTTCAGCCCCACTTGGGCACCCAGCACCCACTGCTGCCCCTTTCTGAGACACCTTTCACCAGAGCCAGGGCACAGCCACTTGGCTAAGCTTCCTGTCCATGGTCTTTGATGCCCCTCCCATTCAACCCCCTGGAGAATCTTCAGGCTCAGTTCTGGTCACATTAAGCCCTCTTCCTTCTGCACCCGGCCAGGCTCCTGCACTAAGGCCTCCGGGACGCAGGGCTGCGTGCCCCTACTCTCCTGCCACTCTTCTCACCCACCCTCCTTGCTGCTCCCACCACAGACTTGTTCTGTCGACACGACTCTAAATGCTCACAGTATTTGTGACAAGAGCAAATCTCCTGGGCCCGTCCAAGCCCAGCACTGGCCAGAGTGGGTTTGGCTGGAATAAGCTCTGGGGTTTTGCCTCCTGGCCCCAGAGAGCAGGGAGCAGACCTGCTGGGACGTGGGGTGCTGGTCTGCTGGGACAAGGCCTGAGCAGGACACCTGGTCAGTGCAGCACCAAGACCCAGCCGAGCCCCGGTGATGGGCTGCTCACTCACAAAGTGCCCCACCCCAGTTCTAGCCCCAGGGCCACCCACCTGCAGTTTCCAGAGGAAGTCGAGGCGGGCGGTGGACTCCACCTGCTGGGCGTGCAGGTACAGGGCCAGCACGAAGACTGAGATGATGATGGGCGTCACCACCTTCAGCGCCACCTTGGTCGCGTGCTCAGGGCTGCAGGCAGGAGGTAGAAGCCCTGGCACCTCATGGCAGGCTCCGGGGCCCCTCAGGCCTTTCGTCTTCCTCCCACTGTGTGGCCTCCCTTTCCTCACCTCCTGCTCAAACGTGGCCTGAGGTGTGCCTCTGCCAGCCTTCCTGATGGAAGCCCATCCCAGCCCCGCCCACGCCTGCAGCTCAGCGGCCATGACTGCTCTGTGGCCTCCCAACTCATGACCCCCCTGGGGACCTTCCCCCTGGTCACGTCCGAGGGTGAAGGAGGCCCTTGGGAAAGGCTACGTGTACATCTCAGGTCTCTTAGTGGACAAGACAGGCTGTGGGCGCAGTAACAAGGGAGCAAGGCAGGCCACACGGACCGTCTCTGGGCAGCCTTGGGCAAGTTTCTTAACCTCTCTGAACCTTAGTCTCCTAATCTGTAAGGTGGAGTAACAATGCCCACATTTCAAACTTGTGATAAAAATTAAAAATGTTATATACAAATCCTTTGTACCTAACAGTAGGAACTCCAAAAGTGCTAATTACTATCTAATTATATTTCTGTTAACATTAAAAAGAACACTCTTAATAAAAGCAGCTATCCCAAACCCTGCTCCCTGTGCCAGCAAAGAGCTCAAATCTCAAATGCAGCCCGATGCAGGGCTTAACCCCACACCGGGGGGCGGAGGGGGCACTGGTTCCTGTCCTTCTAGGCCTGAGGGTGGACACATGCTCCTGGGGAAGAGCCTGAGGCTGAACGCTTTAAGGTGAAGCCTGTGGAATGGCCTGTAGGACCCAAGGCCCCGGCCCGAGTCTATAGATCACCTTGGGGTGGTGGGATCATAAAAAGGGGGGCATCTACCCAATGAGACCCCCTTGATACGAGGGAGAGGAGGGTCCACCTGCCACAAAGCCCTCTCCCACCTGGGCCCCTCTGCCTTCTCTGCTGGCCCCGCTGCTCTGTGCGAAGGGAGGGAGAGGCCCTCTCTGAGAACTCAGAGAGAGAGAGAGAGAGAGAGAGAGAGAGAGAGAGAGAGAGAGAACATCAACTCACCACTGGGAGGTCCCGTTGTTGTTGAAGTCTCTGTGAACAGAAGTGGGAGGGCTGCTCAGGGCCACTCGGCAGCTCAGTGCCTGCTGTATCCCCCACCCTGCTGTGTCCCCACCTTGAACTGCCCCCCACCCTGCTGTTTCTCCCCACCCTGCTGTATCCCCCGACCCTGCTGTATCCCTCCACCCTGCTGTTCCCCCACCCTGTTGTGTCCTCCATCCTGCTCTGATCCCCACTCTGCTGTTCCCCAACCCTGCTCTGCCCCCCACTCTGCTGTCCCCCCACCCTGCTATGTCCCCCACCCTGCTCTGCTCCCACTTTGCTGTGTCCACCCTGCTGTGCCCCCACCTTGCTCTGACCCCCGTGTCCAATATTGCTACTCCCACTGCTAGTGCTCCTTCGCCCCCACCCCAGCACCCCTCCTGATCCAGGGAAGCTCTCAGGATGGGAGGAAAAAGCCCAGTACCACCTAGCATCTGGGTGCCATGACCACACACTACCCAGCCTTTACCTGGGACCCTGGGGACCCAGACATATCCACCTCTCCCAGCCCAGCCCTTTGCACCATCCAGGATGTTTGCCACTGTCCACATGGGGCTACTGAGCTTAAAGGAGTACTGAGTGCAAGTGTGTGGCTGCTGCATGTGGCCTAGCTAATACAGCTACTAGGAAATTCTGAATTACATCTGTGGTTTGCATTATTCATCTATTGGACAGTGATGCCCGAGAGCCAAGTCAGGGTCTCCCAGCCCAGAAATGACCTCCATTCTCTGCTGCTACTTCAGCAGGAGGAGAGGAGAGAAGAGGGGAAGGGAGGGGAGGCTAGGAGAGGCTAGGGGTGGGGGAGGAGCAGGTAGGACAGAAGAGGCAAAGTTCCCACTCCCACCTGACCCATGGGTAGAAAGGCCCAGACCACCTTCCTCTCCTCCTCTCTGGGCTGCGGCCGGCCCTGCTCCCAACGCTGCAAGGTCTCCCTGTCATCTGCCCACAGCCCCACGCAGCCACCAGAAGCTCTTCCTTGAATCTGACTTAGGTCCTTCGTTACACCTTCGTTTTCCAGGTGATACTCTCTTCACAAGGAGTGCCGGTACCTCACTGCCAGCTCGGCGCCTACAACACGGCAGGCCGAGTGCATCCTTGGGGATTAATGGCCCTTCCTCTGGTTCAGAGAGCACAGTCTGCCACGTTTCCTCAGCGGACAGACCTGCCACTCACATTCTTCGTGCTTCCTGAGTGCGTGTTGGGCGGGGGGATGTGTCCTGCATATCATACTACACTTTACGTACATTTTACCACTGTGGGCATTATTGTTCCCACTTTACTGGGAGAAATAATGAGGCTCGGGGAAAATAGCCACATGTGTATCTGAGGCTGAGACTGAAACTCAACTTGACCCAAAGCTAGATAGAGGTCTTGCCCCTCAGTAACCTGACATCTGCCGCTCTATGGCCAGGCTGACGGCCAGCTAGAGAGCCTGTGGCCCTGCGTCCCATACACCCCCTCCCCCGGACTGTGGGACTTCACCACTCGCCATCACAGGCAGGAGCCTCTGAGCCGGGCACAAACCACCCAACGTCCCTGGCAGCGTGGCCTACTTGGTGGGGTTGCTGAGGATGGAAAGTGGTCATGTATGTCCAAGGGCCTGGCGCCAGGTGGGACGCAGGGTCCATGAACACAGAGGCCCTTCCTCTGCTCCCCAAGACCTTGCTAGCCAGCCCTGTGACCTCAACCCCTGGGCACAGGGTGCACAGGCAGTCGGAGTGAAAACAGCTCCTCAGAGGCTGCCCTGGAAACGTCAGGGACAATTATCTGAGGCCCAAGGGCAGGGCTGAGTAGGAAACTGGAGGGAACAGTGGGGTCAGCCACCCCGAGGCCGCTGTGCCACTGGGAAAGGGAGAAACTAGATGGTCAGAGCCACAGGACACTCCCCCGCCCCCAGCCCAGGGCCCAGCCTCCTGCTCTTCCCACCTTTCTGCAATGCCCAGACCCAGTGGGGGCCTGAGGAGGGTGCCACCTACATGGCATTGGCGGTGACCAGAAGGTCGGCATTGTCAAAGAGCGTCACACCGGGCACCTCGACGACGAGCACGTATATGAGCTCGATGGCCAGCATAAGCACCAGCTTCCCAATGCAGCTGATTTGCAGGAACACGGAGCAGGCCAGCAGGCTAAGCAGCACGCTGTAGGTGAAGTACTAGGGAGAGAAAGCAGCAGGCCTCAGCGGCCAGGCCCCGCCCCTCAGGCCCCGCCCCCTCCGGGCCCTGCACTCCAGCATCCATCCAGCCTGAGCCCGCCTCAGTGAAGCCTCGCCTGGGGATATTTCTGCTGATGCAAACCTGTGGTGTGATGTGAAGGGCCCTGATGAGGAACCAGGAGATGGGGCTCCCTCCAGGCTGGGTTTGACCAGCACTGTCAGAAGGGCCCATGGTTAGAGCACGGCTCCAGGCTCAGGCCGACTGGACTTACATCCTGATACACTATGCACTGTTTGTGTGACTTGGGCCATGTACTCAACCTCTCTAAACCTCAGTTTCCCTGTTTGCAAAATCCCCTATCTCATGGGCACACGGTGACGATGACCCGAGATGAGGTGATTTGGGGCAGTGCCCTGCACCCCCAATAACTGTGGGGATCACAGGCCCAAAACTCTCGATTTGCAGCTTTAAATCCAAAGCTCTAAAAACTGAACATGTTTTCCTAACTGATGTGGTGGCAACCTGACCCACCTGATGTGCCGTTAACTCTCATCTTTATCCTGCTTCCTGTGACTATCCATACATTTTGCTGCAGAAAAATTACCATGTTTCACTATCAGCTGCTGCGCACACTGCACTGGGGGTGTGAGGTAACCTCTTAAAATCTGAAGAGTTCGGAAGTCCAAAATATATCCGCCCTGGCAGGCTTCAGACCAGGGGCGGTGGCCCTGTACGATTTACTCTGGGGGAGTGTCTTCTGGCCTCTGAGCCTCAGTTTCTCAGACAACCGAGGGGCTGACTCAGGTAGACTCAGAGGCCCCTTCTGCTCTGCCATCCCCAGTGCTAATCCCAGACATGCCAGCATCTATTATTTTGTTCTTGCTTTCAAATTTAGCAGCATTATTTCTGAGTCAGACACTGGGACTCGCTATTCACTGCCTCTGCCTTGGCTGGAGGCCAAAAGGCGGTGGCTGGCAGTGAGGTTGCCCCCAGGTTGGACTTCCTGACTCCGCAGGTCTTCGGGAACCCCGAGAGGGGCTGCAGAGGACCCCTGTGATTGAAAGGGGCGGGACCAGCCTCAAGTCACCACCAGGAACAGGGGCAGAGGAAGGAGCAGGGAGGCAGACCCAGTTAATTCAGCCCAACGATAATTAAGCCCGTCCTTGGGAGATGGGGAGGGGGCACCAAGCGCAGCCTGGATTGCCACTGGGACCCAGAGCCCACACAACCAGGAGGCTAAGGCTTAATGCTGGGCTGCCCAAGGGCCTCAGGGTTTGTGACTCAGAACAGCCATGTGGGGTGGGTCAGCCCTGGAGCATGTAGCCAGCGGGGATAAACAGGCTGAAACTGGTGGGGCTGGTGAGGACCGAAGACTGACAGCTGGACCGCCCATCTCCAGAAAACGGGGAGCTAGAACAGGCTCTGCCCTGCCCTCTCCCCCACTCCTCCGCTTCTTCCCTGGAGCGACACCAAGGGACAAGTGCGAGACCAGAAACAGCTTCTGCTTCTCAGCAAATAGCCCTCAGGCAGCAGCTCCGTGGGCTCTTGTCCAGATGTGAGAAGGAACAGAGGCGGGAGTGCGAGGCCTAGGCCTGCCCCCCCCCCCCAGGTGCCTGAGGAGCGTGGCCGCCCAGGGAGAGGGAGCCCTTGGCCTGGGCCCCGGGACAGGAGGAGGGGAAGCGCTGGTCTAGGGAGCATCGCGGAGTCCGGCTCCTCACTGAGTTTCCCTTGCCCTGTCTGTGCCGCAAGGCAGACCAGGCTCCCTCCCAGGGACGGGGGAGAGGCCACTGTGGCCGCCCAGGGGTCCGCACTGCAGTTCTGGGCCCTTGTGAGTTGAATGAATGCTTGGACCCTCTCCCCAGGAAAAGGCAGAACTGCCATCATCTTACAGGCTTCATGTGAAATGGGAACTGAGGTGTGGGGATCACCCAGTACATGGAGGGGGTGCCCTGCGTTGGAAACCTGGCCTGCTGCTCCCTGGCAAACTGCTCCCCAAGAAAACGCAGTGAGGTGACTGGAGCAGCTCACGGACCACAGGCATTTAACGCACGCTGCTTCCTAGGGTTCTCAGAGCCATTGTTAAACCCAGTAAGCTACAGGTACACCATTTCTTCTCCGGGTGACGGAAATGTTCTAAAATCAGACCATGATGATGGCTGCACAAGTGTGTGACTATGCTAAGAGCTACTGAACTGTACACTTTGAAGGGGTGACTTTCTTGTGCCGCTGCTCTCTGACCCACAGCAGGGGCTTGGCCGGGTTCTCCAGAGGCAGCCTTGGGTCCTGCCCAAGCCGAGGGTCCAGAAACAGCTCCACCCCCGGGCTCAGAGCACGAGCTCGAGAGCCAGACAAGCTGGGCAGGAGCCTGGCTCTGCCTCTTACGACCTGTGTGACCTTGAGCAAGTTACGTAAGCTGTCTGTGCCTCGGTTCATTTGCATAGAGGAGGTAATAACCGCATCTGTGTCACAGGGTTGCTGTGAAGATAGTAAGTGTCTGTAACGCACTCGGCACAGTGCCTCGCAGTGGTGAGTGCTGTGTGAGCAGGGCTGTGCTATTGCTGGTGTTACTGTTGCGTTGAGGAGGTTGGCCTCCTTCACTGGTGTCTGGCACGTGGAGTGAGAGAGATCGAGGGAATGAGGTCACTGAAAGGGCAGTGACCTTGAAGCCCCTGACTGTCCCTCAGAGCAGCCCTTGGCAGAGAGGGGGTGGGGCGGGAGGCTCTCCATCTGCACCCGCCCCTCTGGGCCGTACCTCGGGGAAGTTGCAGTTGGGCCAGGGGCTGCTGCAGAAGCCCTGCTCGTCCCCCAGGCTGTAGTTGACGGCGGACTCCACCACATGGCACGCGTTGACCTGGCTGGTGCTGACGTTGTGTTCATCTGCCAGGCAGCCGAACAGGTCCTGGGAGTTGCACATGAACTGGGGGCGGGGAGGAGAGTCAGCGGGGAGCCAGGCCAGGGCGGGCCATCCCCACAGGGCAGTGGGCTCCTGTTCACTCTCCGTCTTGGGTGCAGCCTGATCCCGACCCGGGACAGGAGAGGAGCCTGGAAGAGGCTGAGGACCTGGCAGTGCCTGCGCCCACGGCGGGGCTCCCACACACCCCCTGGGGACTTCCAGAGACCGGGAGCGGCTTTAGGAGTTAACCTGATCCCAGACCTGAGGTGGGACCCAAAGAAGACTTCCTGGGAGGGAGAACTCCAGGGTCTGGGGGAGACTCTCCTCCCAGCCCATGCTCGAGGGGTGCAGGGCTCCCCCGGTTTCACCCAATGGGGCTGGAGAGGTGGAACCACCCACCATGTTGACAAAAGCCGACAGGAACACCAGGGTGATGGTGAACACCCCGACCAGGGTGCTGTTCATCTTAGACCGCACGATCTTCCTGGAGAGGGTCTGCAGGGGGCCTGGGAAGAGCTGGGTGGGGGGGAGGAGAGAGAAAGAGAGACAGAACAGAATTCAGTGGGCACGCCACAAACCGCCATAGAACCAGATCTCCCGTCACCTCTGTCTCTGGCCAGCTGACGCAGGCCTGAGACGCACTCCGGTGTGTGAGCCTCCTGCCTGGCACTGCTTCCGGGCCCACAGCCTAGGTTGTGCAGCTGGCCAGGGCGGGTCTACCGGGACCTTACAGGTGAGAGAAGCAGGACGGAAGGAAGAAGGAAAGATGCTATCTTGACTCCAACAGGGAAGCAGAGGGAAAAGCACTGGTACCCACTGTGAATTCTGGGAGTTACAAACAGGGAGGGACAGTAGGTGGCAGCTGAGGAGTCACGGAGGGTCAGAAGGATCCTCAGAAGAAAGAGATGAGGTCCGGCGTGTGGAGGAAGGGGGAGAGCTGGTGAGAAGGGGCAGAGCAGCCTGTGAGCAGGAGGGTGGGCCACGGACCAGTGAGCTCAGGGAGCCTTTTTCAGCAGGACGCTCATGGATCTGCCATTTTCCTCGCCCAACCCTCCCCGTATTCCCTTCAACTAGACAAACTGTACGTCCACTAAAAGACCCACAGTGGTTTTGGTAATTTCGGGCCCCAGTAAGTCTGACACAGTCGGCCTTGTCCACCATGTCCTCCGCATCTCCCAACCGGCATAGACTAAGAAGAAGCCGGCAGACCAGGGGGGATGGAAACTGCCCAAGAGCCCATCAGTTTGATGAAGGGATCAACAAATGTGATACAGCCACACAAAGGAATATTATTTGGCCATAAAAAGGAATAAAGGGCTGTTACATGATGGTATGGCATGGATGAACCTTCAAAATACGATGCTAAGTAAATGAGACCAATTTCAAAAGGCCACATACCGTATGATTACATTTATACAAAACTAGAGGCCTGGTGCTTGACATTTGTGCACTCGGGGCGGGGGGTGGGGGAGAGTCCCTCAGCCCGGCCTGCACCCATTCACAGTCCAGGAGCCCTCAGGGGAGATGTCTGACTGCAGGGAGTGGGCTTATGCCACAGTTGGACATCCTTAGCGCTGCCACGGAGGCAGGAGAGGCTCCTACCACCGCTGCTGTGCTCGCCAGCCATCAGCCTGGCTTGTGGCTGAGCGGCGCTCCCCCTGTGGGAGTGCACTGACCACCAGGGGGCAGCTCTTGTGTTGAGCATTTGCCCCCTGGTGGTCAGTGCGCATCATAGCGTCGTTCCGACATTTGGTCGATTTGCATATTAGCCGTTTATTATATAGGATGTCCAGGACAGGCCAATTCACAGAGACAGAAAGTAGATTAGAGGTGGCCGTGGCCGTGGCAAGCAGGGGACGTGCAGTGACTGCTGACAGGTGTGGGGTTTCTTTGGGGGGTGATGACAATGTTCTGGCATTAGATAGTGATGATAGTTGCACAACTTTATGAATATACCAGAAACTACTAAATTACAATTCCAGCCACCTTTATAAAGTGGATTTTATGGTATGTGAATTGTATCTCAATAAAGCATTTAGTAAAAATCCTGCCCGGCCTCTGACTAGCTGTCTGGTCCTGGGGAAGTGGGGAAGGGCTCTGAGCCTCAGTTTCCTCGTCAGTAAGTAGGGAATATCTTCAAGGTGGCTAAGAAGACCCAAGGAAATGATGCATTGGAAAGTGCTGTGTAAGCTGTTAAATTCAATAGAAAATTTAGTTAATATTTGCATTCTAAAGAGCTATGTTGCCAGTAAAAATGAAGGTCCTTGTTTCCTATTAAAGGAATTTTGGGTTTCACAGCTGGGGGAAGCAGTTTGGCACTGGCATCAGGATCTCACTCTGAAATGATGTGACAGATGGTTTCTAATCTTTGCCTGATTCAAAGTTTGCCATTCCATCCCCACCCCCACCCATGTTGCTTAAATTGTTTTAGTTCTGATCACCCTATCCATCAACTGAAGGGTTTCCTTCATTATTCTGCAATCACCAAGGATCAGAGCAGGATATGCCCATGGGCTGCCTAGTCAAGGGGGACCAGGAGCCCCACAGGGGCCACCCAGAGGCTAGGAGAAGAACTGCAGGCTTAAAAAGAAATCCAATCCAGAATATCATTCTAACATCTAATGAATGATTGATTCTTAGTGCACTGGCTTGCTACAGGCCAACATCCCTTGTCACCCTTTCAAAAGATCCACTCTTGACTTTAAAACCTCAGCCAGAACCCAGGAATTGCTGCTTTTTGAAATCTGCAAAAGATGTGCCATCCTGCCCTGGTTTATAGAGTACCTCATCTCCTGTAATTGAAAAGTTCATCAACATGTTGAGCCTAAATCCCACCTTTTCTAATAACCACAGCGTGGATGACAAAACTTCACATGGCTCAGAGTCCCTCGCGGGCTGCAGGCAGACCCGGGAGGGCATTTTTACGGCAGGACATTGTGTCTGTGCAAACTAGCTGCTCAATGCTCGCTCCCAATCAGAGCTCAGAGAAAGGATCAATGAAAGAAATCCCAAACCAGTACATTCCCAGTCTAATGAACTCGAATCAATATAATATAAATACGGGAGCGGGGACATAATTAATAAGCCCTGCTGGGTGAGGGACAGCTTTGATCCTGGCCACTCTGAAAGTCTCCCGGCACATCGATAACTTCCCTGGCGCCTGGTTCCCGTCTGTGACGTCGAGCCAGATTGCAGAGATGGAAGAAGGTGATGAAATCTGATGGCAGAAAGTTTAAGAAAACAGCTTTTTTTTTTTCAAAGAGCTAATACAAAAGCAGAAAAGTCTTTTACGAGATGAAAACTTTGGAGGCAAAAGAAGGCAGGCAGAAGCTGACCAGGCGTCACACCGCTGCTGTCATCTCTGGCTTCTCAGGGGTCAGCTGGGCATATTAACAAAGGCAGTGTCCTGGAGGGGAAGGCCTGTGGGCTCTGAAGAACCACCTGGATTTAAATCCCAGCTGTACTGCCTCTGAGTTCCAGGAACTGGGAAAGCAGCCTTATTAACCGCTCTGAACCTATTTTCTTCACCGGCCAAGTCGATGCAATAAAAACCACCTAGAGCAGCGGTTCTCAACCTGTGGGTCGCAACCCCTTTGGGGGTCGAACGACCCTTTCACAGGGGTCGCCTAAGACCATCGGAAAACACATATATCATTACATATTGTTTTTGTGATTAATCACTATGCTTTAATTATGTTCAATTTGTAACAATGAAAATACATCCTGCATATCAGATATTTACATTATGGTTCATAACAGTAGCAAAATTACAGTTATGAAGTAGCAACGAAAATAATTTTATGGTTGGGGGTCACCACAACATGAGGAACTGTATTAAAGGGCCGCGGCATTAGGAAGGTCGAGAACCACTGCCCTAGAGGCTCAGGAAGCACAGCTCATGGCACAGCTGGGATCTGGACCGAGACTTCCTGACTCAAACGTCGGTGAACACGTGTCTGCCAACATCCTCTCCCTAACAGACAGAAGGTGGCCCTGAGCATGGTGGTGGGAAGGTGAGTGCGGGAATCCTGAGGACAGAAGATACTTAAGAGGGGAGGGGTAGAGTCGTAAGACCCTGTGTTAGACACTGTGGGCAGCAGCCAGGTGGAGGGTGGAGAGGACAGCCAGCCGGGTGAGACTTAGCCTCCTTCAGGCTGTGGGGAGAGGAGAGACTGTGGAGACTGTACCGAGCAGACAGAGCCTAAAAGCTCAGACATCCAAGTGCCAGGGGTCGGTAGGATGCAAACTAAGAGGGAACCAGCGGCCTGGAGGATGATGGAGATAGACACACATGCATGCACGTGTGC